CACCCCTCCGCCCATAGTACATTCACCAACTACGAAAGTATTGCGAGCAACGCTGGGTAGAGTAAGGGGTGGACGCTTTGGGGAAGACAGAGGAAGCCTGAGGTTGGGGGTGCTCGCTGAGAAAGAAGAGAGAAGCGACAGCCACAGAGCCGGGACAAGAAGGGGTTTAGAACGAGCAGAAAGAAGGATGCCTTTTTCCACAGCTCGGGAACTTACTGCTTGGAAACTCCTTGGAAGCGGCGACTGGTTACCATAGCGACCGCGTCCTGGAGGGCGGAGCGGCACTTCCGATGGGTGTCTCGGCCACTACGGCTCGACTAGAAACGTGGTCACATCAGAGCGATGACTTCCGGCGGAAGAAGAAGCAGGTTCCGAATTTTAGCCGATCGCTTTAGAGGAGTGGGCTCCGATGGCTCCATCAAGTTTGGTAAGTTTGGTTTCGAGTGAAGCCAGGAGAGGGTACCCGCCTATGGCTGGGCAATAAAGACGCCTGTGAATTCAGTGGATTCTCAAGTTCCAATCTTGAGGAGGCCCCGGCTTTCTCGTTAAGGTCACAGGTGTGGGCAGAGGTTTCCTGGTTTTAGGGGCTCCTGGTGGGGTTTCTCCTGTAGCCTCCAGAACAGTACTATCCTCCAGTGGACAGTTTCGCGGACACTCTGCGAGGTCTGAGTGCCTCTCCAATGTCAGAGAGACTTGCTTGCTGCTTCCCGGTGTCGAGTGGCTATTTCTCATATTATTCTTTCAAGGTAATCTAGAATTAAAAAGTGAACTGGAAAACTTAAAAGGGAATGCTCCCAATCATTTTAATTCTTTGGCGTTTTGCTTTTCTTTTTTAATCATTCCTTTTGTGAACATTGATTAAGCTCCTTTAGTGTATTTAGCGAGTACTTACTGTGTGCCGCGTTTACCATAAGACTAGCAGAAATACTTTCTTAGAGGGTCATACACCACTCGGGTTCATTATCAAATTCTTCTTTTTTTTTTAATGCTGTTGTATATTCATTCATTTAAGATATAAGCGTATAACGTGAAACATCTAACAGGTTTTCCATACTTGCCTGTACTCTTATACATTGGGGCGTTTTAAATGAAAATATACGCTTCACCAGGTTTGCATTATAATCATGATTTAGTCAACTAAATACCTAAAATTTTAAGAACTTAGAAAAGCAGTACTTATTTCTTAGATACACGCAAACCGATGAGTCTAATGAATTGTCATCAATATTTCTTTTCAGCTGATCTGAATATTCTTGTTCAGTGGATGATGGCATTTGATCAGATTCCAAAAAAGGATTGGTACAGCATTCTGGGAGCAAGCCCATCTGCAAGTATGTCAGACTTAAAACAAAAGTATCAGAAACTCATATTAATGGTAAGTCTATTCTTTCAGATTTTAAATTGAGGGTGGGGAGTAATCAGTGTTTTTATGTGACTGGAAATTTAAGTTTCCATAAAATGGATATATGATATCAAAGCAGGAATCAAGGTATTAATTTGCTTCATCAAAAGTTTCAATCATATCGTAAAAAAAAAGTTGATTTGTGGTTAGATCCCATGATTTGGAACAGGCAATCTGAGTCATGTTGATTGAGTTAGAACCCTGATTCCACCACTAGCTTTGAGAACTTGAACAAGTTACTTTACCATGTGTGTGCCTCAGGGAAGATTAATTGAAATAATCAATGTAAAATGCTTAGAAGTGTGTAATATAATAAGCAACATTAACATCCAGTAGCTGCTAAATACATGTGGCTCTTGAGCACTTAAAATGTGGCTTCGTCCAAATTCACGTATGCTGTAAATGTAAAATACAAATTGGATTTTGAAGACTTAGTACAAAAAATATCAAAAATTTGTTATTTACATATTGAAATGGTAATATTTTAGATATATTGGCTATTTTGCATATTATATACGTGTATACATTTTCATATGTAAGGAAATATATTATCAAATTGATTTCATTTTACTTTTTTAACATTGTATATATGGCTTGCATTGATACTTTGCATTGTATTTTTATTGAATAGTTCCAATTTAGACTATTTATACAGTTTTGTGTGTGAGTTGTGTTTATAAATATATAGTATCTTTCTGAACTATTACATTAATTTTTTCCACCTAATTGTGTGTTTCTTAAGCTAATGCGAATAACTTTATAAGGGCTTCAATTTAACTCAGTTTATAAAGAGTCAAGGACCATTACTTACATAGTGTTGGTTGTTTCTCTAGATCAAATAGATCTATGAGATTTTGCCATAAATTTTAGTATTTATTGTGAGAGATAGTAGATGTTTCACTGTCAAGAATATATTACTATCCCTGCTTTAGGTAATAAGTTGGACTAAATTATGTTAAGGTGTCTTTTGCCTCATAATTTTTAAATTATTTCAGAGTAGAATTAAGCAGACTTTATTGAATAATTTCTTAATACCAAATCATCCTTGTATCTCAATTAACTGGGAGATGAGGCTGGAGTAGACTGGGTCTAGATCATGCAGGACCATGTGGCAATATTGGCAGTGAGAAGCCATTTACACTTAGCGTGATGTCAAACCCAAAGTGAATGAACCATTTTGCAAACCTGATAGCAGGTCAGAAAGTTCCAGTTGCTCTACGTCTTCACCAACATTTAATACTGTTAGTCTCTTTCATTTCACCTGTCGGGGGTTTCTCAGTTTTGCCACCAGTGACATTTTGGGCAGGATAGATAATTCTTTGTTATGTAGGACAGTTCTGTGCATTGTAAGATGTTTAGCAGCATCCTAGATGCCAGTAACAACTAAAAATGTCTCTTGGAGGTCAAATTTGCCAACCCTCCTATCCGATTGAGAACTGCACAATTCTGTTTTTGTAGTGATATCTCATTGTGGTTTTCTTTCGTATTTCTCTGATAACTAGTAATGTTAAGCACTTTTTAATGTAATTCTTAGCCATTCATATAAATTTTTTTTTTTTTATGAAACGTCTTTTTTAAAAAACTAAATATATTCTTGATATGTATATTTTCTCTTAGTGTATGGCTGGCCAGCTCCTTTTCTTAATGATGTTTTCTGATGAGCAGACCTTTTTGTTTTGATAAAATACCATTTATCTGTTTTTTTGTTTTGTGGTTAGTGCTTTCTCTGTCTTCTGTAAAAATGTCATGAAAGTATTTTCCTATGTTGTCTTCTAAAAGTTTATAGTTGGCTTTTACTGTTAGACCTATGATTTTCGTATGTGGTGTGAAATGAGAGATAGTGTTTTTGTTTCTCAAGAAGGATATTCAGTTGTTCATCATTTATTGAAAAGATTTTAATTTCTACATTGGATTGTCTTGGCAGTGTGGGTCTGTTTCTAGACTCTATATTCTATTCAATATCTTTGTCTATCCTTTTATTAATACCTCTGTCTTGATCAGTTTCAAAGTCACATAAAGTTAAGTTCTCTAATTTTATCCTTCTTTTCAAGTTTATTTTGGTTAGTTTAGGTTGCCTTGCATGTCCATAGAATTTTGGAATCAGCTGCAAATTTCTGTTTTTAAAAAATCCTGCTTGAATTTTAACTGTGACTTTATTGAATATATATCCATTTTGGCAGAATGGACATCTTAACTATATCAAGTCTTCTAATTCATGAATATATTGTATCTCTTCCTTACTTAAGTCATCTTTAATTTCTATCAGAAATATTTTAGAACCTTGTATGTAGTATTACACATTTTTATTTAAATTTATTTTTAGTTTCTTGATGTTTTGGGTTCCTTGTAAATGTTTTTTTTTTTTTTTAATTTTATTGCCTAGTTGTTGATTGATAGTATGTAGAATTATATTTTTATATACTGATCTTGGATCCCACAGTGTTGATAAATTTGCTTTTTAGTTGTCTCATAGCTGTTATTGTAGAATTTTTACAACTTTCTACCAACACAATTATGCCATTTGCAAATAAAGGAACCTTTAATTCTTTCTAATAATGTATGCCTTTTATTTCTTGTTCTTGCCTCAACACACTATTTATTTGCTTCTATTACAATGTTCAGTTGAAGTGGTGAGAGCACTTCAAATGATTTTAGGAAGGAAAGTTTTTCAATATTGTACCATTAAACATAATGTTAGATGTATGTTTTTAAGATGCCCTTTATCCAGTTAGGGACATTCTTCCTATTCCTAGCCTGCTAAGAGTGTTATCATGAATGGATATTGAACTTTATTAGATTTTCTTTTTTACTTTTATTGAAGTTTGCATGTATTTCCTTCCCTAATATGTGAATTTTATTGATTTATTTCCTTAATATTAAATCTATTTTGCATTGCTAGGATAAACAAATCTCACTTGTTCATGAAGTATTATGCTTTTCATATATTGCAAGATTCTAATTGCTATTATTTTGTTAAGGATTTTTATGTCTAGTTTCATGATGTATATTGGTATAATTTTCTTTTTTTTTTTATGTCCATGGCTAAATTTAGTATCACAGTTATGCTGTCCTCATAAAATAATTGAATTGGGGAGCGATTCTATTTGCTCTCTTTTCTGAACGAGTTTGTATGAGATTGCCTTTATTTATTTAAATGTTTAGTAGACTTTACTAGAGAAGTCATGTGGGCCTAAAGGTTTTTTTTTTTTTTCTGGGAAATGTTATAATTATTACTTAGAGACTATAAGGCTATTGAAATTTTTCATTTCCTGTTTTGTCAATGCAAGTTTTTAAGAACTTGTCCATTTCCTTTAAGAAGTCAAATTTATTGTCATAATGTTCATGCTATCTCCTCATTATCTTTTAATTGCTATAAGATATGTAATTGTTTTCTGTTTCATTCTTTATATTGGCAATTTGTATTTTCTGTTTTTTTTCCTGAACAGTCTTATTACAGGTTTATCCATTTTATTAATCTTTTCCAAGAATCAACTTTTACTTTGTTGATTTTTTTTTGTATTATTTGTCCATTTTTTCTTCACTTGATTTCTGCTTTTAATTTTATTATATCCTTTTTTTCTACTTATTTGCTTTATGTTTTCTAGCTTATTAATGTAGAAACATACATAACTGACTGTACACCTGTCTTTTTTTCTTACATAGCCATTTAAAGCTGTTAATTTCTCTCTAAGCCAAAAGCAGTGCTTTAGCTGCATCACACAGATTTTGATGTGTATTTTCATTATCATTCAGTTCAAAACATTTTAAAATTTTTCTTATAATAGTTTTCTTAGTCCTATGGGTTACTAGGAAGTACATTGTTTAATTTCTAAATGTTGGAAAACATTCAGATCTTTCTGTAACTGATTTCTAATTTAATTCTATTATGATTAGAAAATGTACTTCGAATGATTTCATTTCTTTCAATTTTATTAAAACTTTTTTTATGGCCCAACATATTTTGGTGAATGTTCCTATACACTTGAAAAACATATACTTAGTTTTCTGTAAACATCTATTAGGTCAAATTGATGTGTCATTCAAATATTCTATAGTCTTACTGATTTTTTTTGTCTATCTGTTTTATCATTTTCTGAGAGAACATTGACTTCTTGAATCATGATTATGGATTTGTCAGTTTTTCTTTTTACTTTTGTTAAATTTTGTTTTATGTATTTGGGATCTTTTTTTATTAGGTGCATATGTATTTAAGATTATGTCTTCATGAATTTAAACCTTTGATCATTATAAAATTCCCTTCTCTATTTCTCATAGTACCCTTCTTGACATCTACTCTGATATTAATATTAATACACCACCCTTCTTATACTATTTGTATGATTTATCTTTTCCCATCTTTTCTCTTTTACTCTGTCTCTTTTATGTTTAAAGTGTGTTTTCTTGTATATAATTGGAGCCTTAAGATAATTGACAAATAATAATGTGGAAGTTTAAGGTGTACAATGTGATGATCGAGACACATATATATTGCAAAATGAATACTACAGTAAGGTTAGTTTGTGTGTGTGTGCGTGCCTGCGTGCGTCAAGAAACTTTAAGATTTATTCTCTTAGCAAGTAGACAATACAATATTGTTAACTATAATCACCATGCTGTGCACGAGATATCCAGAACTTTCTCATAACTTAAAGTTTGTATTCTTTGATCAACATCTCATTTCCCCCATCTTCTAGTTTATTTACATTTGTTGTAATTGTTGGTAATGTTTGGGTTTAAATCTGAAATCTTTTTGTTTTTGGATCTGTCATAATTGTTCTTTGTTCCTCTGTTTTGCCTTTCTTACCATCTTTTGGGCGAATCAAGTATTATTTCAAGATTCAAGCATTCTATTTCCTCTGTCAAATTTTTAGTTACATTGTTCACCATTTCCACTAAATCCCCTAATAAAGTTATTTTAAAGTTTCTGTCTGATAATTTTAACATCTGGGTCTGGTTCTATATCCTTTCTTAAT